GATTTGCAGGGCAATCACACGACAAGTAGAATGGTCATATGAATCACAATGCTGGAGGTACCCAGAATGACCACTCCATGTTACCTTTACAGTAAGACAGGCTGTAGAGTTTTTCAGAGAAAGTACTTGCACTGTCTTTGTCCATCTTTTCCCACTGTCTTTTCCTGGCACTGGTGAGTGCAGATATGCCTTGTTGATCAGTGTGGCCTAAAATATGGGTACTGCTACGAAAGTAATGCCTCCTATTTTATTATGCTGGCCTGTGACATCAGAGATGGATGTTGGTGGTGTGATAGTAGAGGTTGAACCTTTCAACCGATATTCTGTTCCATTTTGTTGCTTGGTGACAGATGGCAGCAAAGGGGCAATTTGACAAAATGATGTCTGAAGTGAAGGCGTGTCAATTGGATTTCTCCATATGAAACCAACTGTGCCAATTGACATTCACTGATGCTTACTGAACATTTATGGAGACCAAACAGTGGATGTGAGCACAGTGAGGAGGTGGGTGATGCATGTCATTGGTGGTGATGGGGACAGTGGGCCGCCTCTGCTGGTACAAATTGTTATGAGTACATCATGCAGGCTGTTAATCATCACCGGTGAAAAAGTATATCTCATGGTAGTGACTGTGTTGAAAACTAGTCTTTTGTAGCTGAGAATTTGCTCTATCACGTAGTGTTCTTGTGCTCTTTGTATCTATTATTGTTTCTGTGGAAATGAATAGGAGGCATTGCTTTCAGAGCTACGTATGTACATCATGAAAATAACTTGTTTTAAAAAATTAAAGTCTATTCATATTCTAGTGAGGGAAATGTAACAGCCTGCACTTATCCTTTAGTGAACACCACGTGAGATCCACAACATAAGTCTCCCATCCCGTGAAACTACTTGTTTATGAATGCTATTTAGAGGCATCTGTCTTTTATGTGATAATCTTTTTTTACCGTGTACAAATTTAATATTAAGCAAACCCATCTTGTATAACATTCTGGGCAGCCTGGTCTAGTGGTTGGAGACCCTGCACGTAGCAGGGAGGTTGAAACTAGATGATCATTGTGGTCCTTTTCACCCAGGACATTCTATGATTCTATAAAATAATATGCAGACTGCAGAATCTGCAGTGCTGATAAGTGACTGCTCCCATCTAATGGTAAATGGAAGAACAACAGAAAAATAAAACATTCTGCTTTACACCAGTAACTGTAGGCATGTTAAAAGTTATGGTCCCAGATCCTGAAGGTTCAAAATAGAACCTAAATAAGATAGCAAATAGGAAGGTTGGAGGAAGGAGGAAGGTTGAGTGATCAAATTATTTTTAAAATATACTTTTAGCTTCCTGTTTAATGTTGTAACAGTAGAGGTTTACATAAATATTGTCTTTTTATCCAGTTCTTATTACAGTTTGTGTGTGGAAACTTTGATCTTGTGGGCGTAAGGATGTGTATGATTCTAGTCAAATGATATCAAAGGATAGATTAAACCTTTAGGAGGAATAAGGATAGAAGCATTTCTGAACAAAGTATTTCGGAGGAGAGATGCAGAAGAGGGTATATGTATGGCACAGTATAATTAGATATGGAAATTATTCGGTTATCATAATGAAATTAGTGGCTTCATGGAATCATTTCGGTGGGAAAAGCAGTTTCTTTTTTTTTGACTTTTTGACTAGAAGATGCAGAAATTTTGTGACAAATAATGTTTAAAATTAGAAGTTCAGTCTCTGATGATTTTTCTGAACTAGCAAAAGCACATTCTGCATAAATTTACTTCCTTTCTTTTCTTTCAGAATTGTTAGGCGTTCACTTAATTTCAGTGGAACACTGCATTATAAGAAATTGAGGCAAAAGTGTTTGATAGGATTTTTTTGTTTAATTTTTCAACAAGATCTGAGAACTTTTCAGCTTTTCATAACAAAACAGGAGAAATAGCACTTCAAGAGGTAAAAGGCAAAATTAGTTTGTGTGGGATAAGCACTTGACCTCTAAGGTCAAGAAAAAGCTGCTTATACCTTCCAACTTTCCATGTTCTCTCTTCCTCCCCCCCCCACTCTCCTTTCTTCCTTTTTCCTTCCTTCCTTTGATTTCCCTGTTTAAACATTTGTTTCTTTCAAGTTCCGTTCCTATTTTGTCTGAAAAGCATGTGATCTTAAACAAAAAGAAAACAATTTAGCTTAGATCCTTAAAGTCTGTAGAAGAGATTTAGTTTAGATCCTTAAGCTCTGTAGCAAGCTGTATTTTAGACGTGTGTTAACATTTTCTATCAAGCATACAGTGTGTGAATACTGTACTATCCAAGGAGTGTGCATAGTTGTACAGTTTCAACTGGGGATACTCTGCAAGTTGATTGTCTGCATGAACTTTGACTCTAGTTTGGATGAGAACTCCTCTGCTTTTATGTGGTACTGAAAGATAAACTTTAGGGATGTTAAATTGTGTGTGAACTCTTCACTGTGTCCTTTTTTATCTTTTGCTTCATCTGTGATGACCCATCATTTATGAATGTAATCTTATCTAATCACTATTTAATTGTCCTCACATCTATGGGCTTATTTATCAGTGAAGACCTATACCATCCTACTGGGAAAATCCTGACAGTAAGTGACATGGAAGAGATTTTTTTTTTTAAACCCAGATTTGCAAGATTCAGTGATAGAAACAACTGTAACTATTTTCTGGAGATATGACGCTGTATATGTTCATTTTTCTTCTTTAATTTGTGAAATTTTTTTTAATCTGTCAGTAAAAGATTGTGGTATTAAAGGTAGTGATTAAAGAGAAGGACAACAGTGTATGTAGTGTTATCAAGAGAGTAAGCTTTATAAGTGGCTTTACCATATGATCAAAGTATGTTTCTTTCAAAATTGCTGGCATTTTCTTCCAAATTAACTATCTCTCATATTCATTTTTTTTTAACGGATCATATTGTATACAGAACAAGCAATTGCATTTGGAAATTGGAAAATAGGATGTTGCAAATCCTCATGGTGCGTATGAGTGATGTTAACTGAGACTGAATTTGGAACCAGAGGTAACAAGGTCAATTTCAAGGGAGGCTCATGGTACCTGAATTTATTTGGAAAAATGAAGTATTTCCCATAAAAATAGCTTACATGTGTTCCTAAACTGCAGCGACTGTTGCCTTTACTTCGGCAACCTCTGATTAATGTCCCGTCGTGAAGTGCTCAGACAGCCCCGGCCAAATCACATGCTTTTATGACACCAATGTGGTGAGCGGCAAATGGCACTTATTGCAAGCAACACACTCTTCTTATAGTTGTCCCTTATATCACAGTGCTACCAATCACCCTTGCTACGGTTATCTGTGTCCAATAGACATGTGGCATGTCTTGTCTTGCCATGTCTCATCATGGTTTTCTTATGAGTCAAGGAGCCCCCGCAGAGCCTGATGACTGTTACAGCCCCCCTTTCAGTATTCGCTAACCACACAAGGGGCCCACACAGATTACGCCTGGTTACGCCTGGTGACCTTGACAGCCCCCGCTTTACGTATTTTGTTGACTACATCTCTAACTTGCGTATTTTGTTAACTACAAGCGACGACAACAGAGCTGCAACTATAGAATTGATACAGCGCTGACACTGCTGTGCTTTAGTGCAACTTAACAACTAAACTAAGAACTAATTTTGCCTTCCCTTTGGCCTATGCCCATGGAGGGCACAAAACAGTCAGGAAAACATTACCTATGCAGAAAACATTTCTGAGCCAACTTTGGCATTCAGTAAAGATTCCTTGGTGATTTTTTTCTTTATATTGGAGAGGCCTTTTTTGGAGTATATGGGACCTTTTTTGGAGGTCCCATTTCAGAAAGGATGAAGTTGGTTGGATTGTCATAGGACTGCAAAAAGCCCATCTCAGGCAGAGATCATCTTTGTGCTGAATCTTTACAGAAAGCATGGTACCACAAGACCTTTTCAACAGAAGGTCGCCTATTTGTTTATTTATTTTGTGGTAGTCAGATAAAATCATGTATTTCTCCTATCTATGTTCTTAGAAACAGTTTAATATTTTAACTATTATTTTCTAAATTTTGGAAATGTCAGTCTGAGATAGAAAGCTTTTTTCATTCTTCATAGCTGGTTTAGAAAAGCGATGAATGGTTCTATATAGCTTATTAGAAGATTCTTTTTCCAGTTTCTTAATAATGAGCAGTGCCATTAGCTATCTTTTTAGTGCAACTTTCATAGCAGCATCTTTTTGGAATGAAGATTCCGTATGAATTTTTGACTGATGTCAGTTGTCCAGGTTGGATATGTATAAGTTCAGTAGCACAAATCATGATTATATAATGGATGTTATTAAACACTTACAAAATTATTCCATTAAAATCAAATATTCCCAGTAGTTATATGTTTGTGTACTGGAGGAGCAAGACTAGGCCACAGTATAAGGCATCATTAAAGGACAATATTCCTTTTCTGTAGCCAGTGCCAGTGTAACTACAGCTGTTGCTGTGTGGCCTGATGAAAAAGAAAGAAACATAAAAAATAATAGAAAAAGGAAGAAGGGGAAAAAAAAGTAGACGCAACAAATGTATTTTTTCTGTCATTATAATCCATAAGTTATCTTCATTGTGTGCTGTTTTTATCCTTTTCTTTCCCTGGCTCTCTAAAGTGAGGCTCTATAGCTTTGAAATGGTAAGAAACCTGGAAATATAATCTATTTTCAGTGTTCGTGGTTGCAAATATCTTTATATCAGTGTTTTTTTGAAAGTATTTGCTCTCTTTGAGACAAAACAGCTCAACTACTTCAGATATTAATATGGAGACATTTTAGGGTAAACCAAGATATTAGAAATATGCGACATTGTAACTTTGGAGTTCAGTTGTAACCACTTGAACTTGGCTAGGATGTTACCAAAGGTATTCTCTTAAGAATGCAAAGGGATGCTTTTAAAGAGTTGGACCAAACAAAGCAAACAAAATTTATTTTGTGTGTAATCAAAATAATTAGATCTCCAGTTGGTGAAGTTGCTTGTTTATTATCAGATATTTCACATCCCTGGCTAGGAGAATATAAACCATGTGTTATTTCCTTGGAGTTCTTCCGAGGTTCCATCAAAGATTCCTACTTCAACGGATCTTACAGATGTACAGGAGTAACGTTCCATGAAACAGAGGATGTCCTTCTCTTTAAAGTCTCTCCCAAGCCTCTCCACCCTGCCACTCAGTATTCTCTGGTTCTGGGGAGGGCTTCCTCAAAATATGATAAATACAAACACTGAGTGAAATGATGAGTAGTACATTCAGGGAGATTAACTTCAGATGAGCATTCAAAAAATGCGTGAAGGATTCAAAGGAGAGACTGGAAGCCTGTTTAAAAACCACAAGTTCTGTAGAATTAACAGCATCCTCTGGGGTTGTATGCCACGTTGTGTGCAGATACCAGGTAGGGATTTCCATCAAGTCTTTTCAAATAATTATGTATACCTGTAGCTCATGGAGCAAAATGGCAAACTGAATTAATGCCCAGCACATTTTGAGCATTAAGAAAGAAAAAAAAAAAATGATGGCATGCAGTCTCTTGATAAGAAGTTTTACAGGAGAAAGCTTCCCCCCCCCCCCTCTTTACAGAAGCAAGATAGCAGTGCTCAAAGTTTACAAACATCCCAGAATTCTGGCAGTCCACCTGGTCTTTCAAGGTCAAGTTTTCAGTGAGCACCTGCAAAAGAGATAAACTTTCCTAATGAAGCTCTCTGGGAGCAGAGAGAGATTAATTCTAAAAGCTAAAAAGCAGCTTCTGCCCGCATTCTCCACCAAGAATGTCAACCTACCTATATTCAAATACAATGAATCATTCTTTTTTGCCTGTTTATTATTAAATAAGTGTTATTTGTATAAAGGGTGTTTGGGGTTGGTTTGTTTGTTTTTGTCAGAGGAGATACAATTATCTTACTGATTTTTTTATTTTTATTTCTAATGGAATGATTATTTCAGTGCAGGTATATGATATCATCAACAGTGTCTAGCTAACAGAGAAGCATATGAAGGTAAAATGTCAGATTTTAAATTTAGAAGAGGATAAGATCATAACAAAGCACAGTGAGAAGTGAATTTTGCTCACTTCTCAATCTCAAAATTGCAAAGGAGTTCCTGTGCAATACATTCACATAGAATATGGAGACCAAACTCTCTGGTCATGTGAACATCTCAGTTCAATCCAAGTATCCTTTAATTTTAGAGCTATTTAATCTCTTAAATTTTATCATTTTTGTAATAGATCTTCCATTTCTCATTGTATCTGGAGAACAGAATGAAATCCTATGGTTTCTGAAATCTCATTAAATGTTATGTCAAACTAGGCGGAAAGAATCCTATGCTTCCTAATGAGACTGTGCGAAGCAGTAAGGCATCTTGCACTCGCGCTCTTGCCTACACTGTGTTGCGAAGAGCACCACCTTGTGCACAGGAAGCAAAAAGCATGTAGTGTTAGCAATAGTACGAAGTGACTGCTGAGGAACTTCGTTTTATTGAGATGAATCTACATGAGCTCATTGCAAGAGACCATGAGAAACAAAAACATGTTTTTGTCACCCATCCTTTGCACGCATTTTGCATAAGCCAGGTAAGATGTTCAAACGTGCTCGTTTCCTGATTCCTAATATTGTTTTGCATAGTTATTTGAATTTAAAGCAGATACTTTTGCAATGCAATTTGGAAGCAGTATATGACAAATCAGTATCATTCAAGCTGTTGCCATAATTAGTCTTTGAATATACCACAATTCCTTGTTTCATGAAAGAGGTAATTAGGAAAAGACACAAATCTGAACAATGATGAAAAAGCTTTGGGTAATTTCTCAATGAATAAGAAGGGAAGCTTACCAGAGAACAGATGAAAAACTTGTAAAGGGAGGTAGTTTAGGCAAATTCAAAGGCAATTCACGCCTTTCATAAGTGCAGATGATCTGTCGATACTCTTCTACAGAAGACCCTCAACCCCTATAGGAAAGAAAGACTACACGGGTCATTCTATGCATATCCTTGTACTAGACCAGCTGGATCTTTTTCTCCCTTGAAATTGCTCATGTTCAGAAAGATACAATTCATTTCTTGAGGTGATGGGGGGGTTTTTTGTTTGTTTTTTGTTTTCCCCAGTACATTGAAATGCTGTAGAGGTCCTAATGTTTCTTAACTGCCCAGAAACACACTAGTAAGCAAATCTTCTTTTATATGTAGAAACTGTATGGTTAACATTTGTTCACGTATAAAATCAATCAGATATACAATCTGATAAAGATACTATTTTAAATAACTTGGCACATAATCTACAGTGTTTCCAAAGAGATGATGTGTTAATCAAGATTTCATTTTTCCCAGAGAATGTCATTAGTCTCACATTCAACAAACACAAGATGTAGAGAATGGCAACTATAAATAGAGTTTATATTGACTTCAATGTTGTATAGTACAAGTCTACCTGGTAGTTTTATGATATTCCTAGCTCATAAATACTGACATATTCAATTCTTGGATAAGACATTTAAAACCATTGTTTAAGCATCGCTTTCCAGATTGCTTATCAGATGACTTCTAGTTCAAATCATACTGGTGCTGATAACCTTTGGCCTGTTTAGGAACAGTAAAGCACCTGACTGTTGATATATTAGTTGGAGATCCACAAACCACAGTTCGAAATTCTTTATCAAAAAAGAAATTGTTATACATATAGGAAAGCCTACTTAACTCAGATTTTCCAATCCAGATGAATGATTGTAGTTCACGTTGGTTTAAAATGAATGCTAATTTCCTTGCAAGTAAAATACAATACTTGAATAAATCCAAGTATCGTTGAAGAGTTTTGTACGAAGGTGAAGTAAAGGAAGTAATATTGAAGTTGAATGTAGTCTAGACTAATGTTATATATTTTTTAGGAGGTGAATGGTCCCAGTGTCTTTTTGGAAGTTTCTACAAAGTTCTTGCTGAATTCAATTGTGTCAAATTCAAAATGCAATCCAAATACTGGACTCAGTTTCTCTTGCAGGACTTGTACCACCTCTGTCAGTGGTTGCCTTTAAATTGAGACTTTCTAAAAATAAGTTCATATGTAGTTATTTAGCATCAGTAGCACTCACAGAGGAAGGAAATCCTTCATTTTGTTTTTGTTGAGACTACTTAAGCTATCTGTAAATGTTTTGATTATGAGGAACTCCTGAATCAACTGGAAGATGTTTGGTTCCATTGTAAACAAGATTGTGTTCATTTAATTTGGTACATGCACAGTGATTTATGTGCCAATATTAGAATAATTGTCATTTGTACATTTGATGGAATATTCTTTTCTGAAAATACTTAACTAGTAAGCAGTCTCAGTAGTGTCTCTGCCTCTAAAGATAGTAACTCAGCCATGAATATTTATATCACGTGTGTGGTTAACAGTGATGGAGGCAAATGTTCCACAGTTTTTTAGTCTGTCTGGAAGAGGAAAAGACTGTAAACATGAACGCATGTGCTTGCAGTCATTTCATCATATTCATAAGTGATAAGGGAAGCATTTTTTTAGTGAGGCAGATAAGGAATTCAAAAGTACTTCTGTGCTAAAGTGAGTCAGGACAGCTGCGTGAAAATGTTTCTGTGTTAATATATCTTCCATATTAATGCCCTTTTACAGTTAGACAAAAGTATTAATACTTCTGTTAATAAATTAGTGAATTGCCAGGTTAGTTAGTATAGTTGAAAGGAATACAGGGTTTGTAGAAAGTAGTAATACTAGTAATCAGTTATTAGTTTTATGTTAAAGAATCAAGCTCGTACTTACATGCTTGTTCACCTAGCTGAGTAGCAGTTGACCTCAAGCACAGTGTTACAGTGATAGGTATGTATGAAGTCTAACAAGGGCAGAGTAGTATGTGAGTGTGCTAAGCATGAGGAATCCTGCTTCGTGACTAGCTAAAAGGCTGTCAAAGGACAGAGCAAGCCAGTAAAACATGCCATATGTTCCTTTTTCATCTGCTGCACTATGCAAATGACTACAGACAAATAGGTCCTATATTGTCATTGTATTTGTAGCATGTGGGGTGTTCTTACTCCTTTTCCCTTTGCTGAAGAGTGACATGAATAACATACTAAGATAAATTTGCCTTATATGTGTGATTTCAGGGAAGTAGTTCTGTAATTTAGCTGCCTTTTTAATAAATCTACTAATTTGGTTTAAAAAGTGACTAAGAAAGCCTATATAAAGCACTCTTTTATAAGTCATTTTCTATGTGATGTAACAGCAACTCATCAGTCTATGAGCCACTGGTTTTAGTTGAATGTTTTTGTACTGTGTATTGCCATTAAGGAGGAGAAACTGTGACATTTATTTTTGCCTAGTGATGGTTCTGTGAGAATCAAAATCCAGTTTGCTCACTGCTCCAGTAACACATAAAGAAACTTAACAAGTTGAATGTACTTGCATACATTTCACCAGAGAAAATGTGACATGATGTTTTAGCAAGGTGTAAATTATGGAAATCAGTGGGACATTGGCTTGACAGTGGGACATTTATTAGACAGAAGCAACAATGACCAGTACAGGATGTTATAGACATATCTTAGGAGAAAACATTCCATTCTGTTTACTAGTCAGTGTGTTCTAAAGAGGATCTTTTTTTTCCCCCACTTAATAGTTTACCAAGAGTATTTCTTCACCAAGCTCAGTATTTTTTTGTTTCTTGACTTTCTGATCTGAGCTCTTATCCACTGCAGATCTGTACTGGTTTGTGTACACATATGAAATGCCAGAGTCCCAAAGACATACATGAAGATAAAATTGTGGTTAGGTAGAGGGCTTCGGATTAGAGCTTTGAGGGAAAGTGATTTTCATTACTACTTTTAAATGAATTATTCTGTTATTGCCAAGTTAAAATGAGGTGTTGATCATGGGGTCTACCTTTAATGTGAAATCGCTCTAACAGGCATGAACTTGTTAATCAGTGTGGAAATTTGCTCCAAAATTCAGCTCCAAAATTCATCTTGTTTAAGCTGAAGCTGTATGATGGATTATGATGCCTTGTGGTCTTTCAAGTAGTGGTGATAAGGAATTAGTAGAAATATACAGCACTGAAGACTAACAAGCAGATTGTAACTATTTGCTTTGCTTTCATTAGGTAAAAAATGATTAAGAGGCAGCTGCTTTCTAATCATGAGAATTCTGAACTGCGATAGCAGAGCCCATCATGCCTGATAAGGTGCTTTTCAACAGGACATTTGTGTCGAGGCAATGGTTCATGCATGACTTCAACACTATAAATAAAAAGAAAAAAGGGACCTGACAGTATCAGAATGCAGATATTTGTTGCAAAACCATGTTTATTTACCAAATAATAGTATTATATACTTTCATCTGAATGGAACCTATGTTTTGAGATTCAGAGTAATCTTCCAATATACAGGTGAGAGATATTTAGTTCTTTTTTTAAGCATATACTTTGTATGTGATGCCTAAATTGGCCGTTAGCATGGTTGTGTTACTTTGTACAGCTCAGTAATCTAAGCAAATGCAAACCTTGCATGTCTACTAATATTTCTTCCTTGCTTTCAAATCTGTTTCATGGAAAATGTATTCTAAATGCTTGTATTCAGCAAAAAGTGAATCTCAGCAGATTCTCTTGACTTTTCTACTGACAACTGAAAGCACTTTGCTTTTGTGCCAATTTAAAGAATTGAAGTAGCTATAAATGTAATATTATAGGTTCATCTGGAATTTTGATTCAATGCCTCAAAGTTAATTTGGAAAGTGGGCTAATTAACAATTATTAAATTGAATTATACATATGATTCAGACTTGAGAAGGATAATTCTGCAATTGCTGATGCTGAAGTTGGAGTTTACCTTGACTAAGCAATCATTGAAAATATAAACATATAGTAGTGTCAGTGGTGCTATTCAAATCTTTAATAAAACAGTCTCTAGATAGGAATTCAACTTTTTAATTAAGGACAAAACACTTTGAAGACTTATTTCCAGTAGATTACAGCATTTGTGATGCAGTTCCCCTTAGGAAATTAGAGAGATTTAAGCTTCTAAGCCCTCAAGGCATGTCTGAAAATCTCAACTCTGAGCTGTAGAGGAGGCAGAGTCCTGTCCGGTGCCTCTGGCATGACCTGAGCGACACTTGCCTATCAGGGGAGATGGAAAGGAATTCAGGGGATTTGCACTGTTCTTGATACTGCAGTACTTTGTCCTAGGCTGAGCAAACAACCATCTGGTATTAGGATTTATCGCTGACTGTGCTGGGAACAATTTCAGATGGAATTTCTTTAACAGAAAAGGTATGCATGCTCTCTGGGAATGCTAAAATCTTTATAGGCAATTTATCAGTTTTGAGTTCAGTTATAAGTTTCTGGTAACAGTCTGACTTTTCTTCCTCTTAAAGGGAAAGCACACAACTCCGCTGCTGCCACTTGTTTCTATATGCCACAAAAGTAATGATTGATTTATATGGTGGGAAATATGTAAAATTCTACTGATGTTCCTGATCACCTTTTCTCAGTCTCTGGATAGAGCATTCATATAAGCCAAGAAAGCATTCCTTTACATAATGCATGTTGTTCAAAAATATATTATGGTATGATATGAAAAAATTTAGGTAAGAGTATCCTTCATCTTCTGTTTCTGGTTCACTTTAATTATTACTATTTTGGCAGTTCCTTTATATCATCCTCTTAATGGGTGGTTTCTTTCAGAACCTTCTGAATTCAAAGTCCTTCACCCATTTGATTTCGTATTTGTCTTCATTTAATTATAAATATCACATGTGATGTAGTTGGGAAAAATGGAAGGACAGCAGAAGATGATATAAATATCATCAGGTTGTTTTTTTTTTTTAATGAACATCGATATTATCTGAGGAACTACAAAACACAAAGTGGCAAACTGATTGAAATTATTGTAAAACAGAATTAGTACACATCTGGATAAATTAAAAAAAAAAAAAGAAAGAAAGAAAGAAAAGAATCAACATGAACTGAACACTGAGAATGAAAACTGTGTGACAAATGTAGAGAGCATGAATATAAAATGTTTGACTTGTAAAATGCTTTGTGCCAAGTACCTTACTGAAAGCTCTTGAAGAAGCTAAACTATCTGACGGTGGGAAGATCATCCATGGTATAGCAACTGATCAAGAGATCCAAGTAAATGATCAGTTTTTACAAATAATGAAGAAAATACTCAATGAGGTCCCCCTGGATCTACAGAGACCCAAATGCAGCTGTACAAACTATTCACAAATGACCATGAAAAGGAAGTAAATACTGAGGCAGGAAAGCTTTCAAAACATAAAAATCTACACAGCAAAATCACAACTGTGGCAGATAGGAAGGAAAAGAAGAAAGTTTTAGCCAGTGCTGAGCAGCTAGAAAATAAAATCTCTGGAGGCTTCCTGAAGGGAAAATACAAAACAGAGAACTTAAAATTGTTGATAATCACAAAAGGGATTTGGGAGCTATTTGTACAGAAAATTCCATCATCTGTGACAAGAGGAGACAAATTGAATATTACAACTATTATCTTATGAGTAGAGAACAAACCAGGAAAACATGGTGATGCTGTTTCAGAAATCTCAAATAGGTGTATTTGTGATCATTCATTTCAAAGACTAAAGGAGTACCATTAGAGAAAACACAGAGAAGGTGAATGACAGTGATCAAAAACAAGTAATGGTTTCCATACAAGAGAAGTGGAATAAAACATGCCTTGTTTCAAAAGACATTATTAAAGGTAAGTATAGCATAAAATTAGTAGTACGGAGATGGTGATTCATTGTTTCTCAGAAGTACAAAAGCTTATGTAGTAATTAAAACTAAAGATGGAGGAAACACTTTCTTTGCATGTTATTTAATTGAATTGCTGAACTCATTGCTGGAGGGAGCTTTGGAAACCAAAAGCAGAGAGATTTTAAAAGGGATTACACAAACATTTGGGGAAAATGTCCGTTTTTTGTCACTAAATTCAGTGATCTAAAAAGCTTTAATAGCTGATCGTTAGGATTACTTTTTACCACCCTGTTTCTTGCACTCTTTCTCAGAAAAGTTGTAACTGGTCACCGCAGAGAAAGCAGAAACAGATGGACCATTGGTCTGACCAGATCTTGTAGTCTTTTGGTGAAATTTTTCCTGTGAGGGTGTTCAGTGTCATGCTGAGACATCAGTTGAGCAACATGAGAAGTTCAGTGTAAAAATAACACCCCTTTCAAAGTACTCTTTCTAATTTTATCTACCACCCCTCTCCACTGTGGCAAGCGTGCCAACAGCTAAAAATACACAGGTCCGTAAATAACATCAGGACCAATTATGTGTGGCAGTGATTCGCTTGTACCATAGTTGTACACATCACTTCTGTTAATCCATCTTACTAGTTCATAATTCACAGCTGCTCCTTCCAAGTACTCTGGTAACTGCATAGCAGTGCCAGAAATACTGAAATCCAGCAAAGTCCAGCTTTGTTAGATTAAAAGCAGAACTCTCAATTCTTCAAAGATGCCTCACTAAACACATTCTCTTATGAGTTCACATCTAATGAAAACTGAGACCAATTAAATGGTCTCCTGGTCATTAGTATAGAAGCTTTACAAAGAGCGAAAGCCGGTTTTGAAATGAATTCCAAGCCATACAAATTGAAACTACCCTTTATTTTCTCCTTGCAGTAAGTTAGTAGGCAGGAGGAGTAAACTTTGCAGACACATCTGCCAGTGCAAACATACTTACTGCATTTATTTGTATGGCTGCCTTTGTTTTGAAATAACTAATTTATTTTCAGAATGTACCCGTGGGGTAAACCTATGATAGCTGTGACTATCCCACAGGCATCATGTATTTGTGATAATTCAGCATTTGTTATAACACTGAAAAGAGGCAGCGTATGTGAGAGATCATTTCATTCCTTCAGTTCCAAGGGTTGAGGAACTTTGGATATCAGGAGACACAAATGATGATTTTTTTTTTCCTCTTCTAAAACAACTGTTGGTAAGAAAGCTAAAAAGCCATTAGGTGGTGCCATGAATTGATACAGAGAGTCACTTTCTACCTTGTACATTCATATTTGCAAGATAACCAGGAGCATGGGTATACTTATTTAGCTGAGAAAGCTGTCAACAACAGTCTACTGGTTTGTGACCAGCTTCATACTGGTGAGAGTGCACTGTGCAGAAATACATCAGCTCACAAAATCAGATTGAAAAAGTACATAAAGTGAGTATATTTTTTACATTTGTTAAAATTAGACTTGAGTTATTTAGACTGAATAAATTAAACAACTACTTTCCATGTAAAATCATAACCACCTTCCAGGGCTTTTATTTATCATTACAGTGTTTAGGAGGGAAAAAAAAAAATATCTCATAGGATCCCTGTGTTATTCTGCTATGAAAGAGCTGTTCACTGCATTACTATTACAAAAGTATTATTTCATTGCCATTCTGTATACACCTCATGCTTAAAGAACTGCAAATTTCATTTGCTGTCAAGTTTTGTTTCATTTTATGAAAAGTGAACTTGAGTTTAAACTATTATAATATGGAATAACCTGTCCTGTGTTTAAAATGCTAATAAACAAACAGAACTTGTATCTGATATTAAATCATATTTCTGAGGCTTTTTAACTAAGTAATTTATATATATTCTGTTGGTCTGATTAAAACTTAACACGAGCCTATAAAAGTAACATGCATGTTAAAGATCTCTAAATTTCCATCACAGTGAACAGAAAGCTACTGATGTCTTCTGATCATGATTTCTGAGCAGTGGCAGGTGGGAAGAGATTGCCAGAAAATCCTGCGACTGAAAGATCCAGCCAGAGTCATGGCCAAATATTAAATCACATAATCCATACGAGTACTAAGCATTTGTTGGCTCAGTTATCACTGCCAAAGTGATGGCTAAGAAGGGGGGGAAAAAGAGATCATTCGTTTTCTAAGGACTCCCTGGGAATGTGATCTGAAATATTTGGTATAGATGAATGAATTGCTTTTCTTTGCTTGCTTTTTTCTAAACACATAGTATTTCTTCTGCATTATCCTAACACTAAGAATAACTTTATCATCCTTTCTGCGCAATTAATATGAACTTACTCTATAACCCTTTATTTTATGGTGTATTTGTATGCAGGTAAACTACAGACTTCCATCTGAAGGGAGAGGAGATAATTTATTCAGTGAAAACATTTATAATGCAGATCCTGGCAAACTACATTATCCTAAGGATGTAAAAGTAAGTCTTCTGTAATCATTCCATGGTTACTGAACGTACTTTAAAATGTATTATTTTAGCATCATTTATTTCATACATATTTGTCTTTTGTTTTTCTGTAACTTACTTTAACAATCACTGTTTTGAAAAGTAAACTGTACAGACAGGACTGTTCAATGGCATGTTTGCTGGAGCCTATTTTCTTTCAATTAAGACCTTCTAGTTATGCATCATTAGAGGACACATATTTTTATATCAAGTTCTGAATGATGAGTTGATGTAAAAATCTGAATATTATGTTAATGGAGGTACGGACAGTGAGACAGATCAGGAATTAAAGTATAAAATCAAGTAACTACAGTGTAAACATTTAAATCATAGTCATCAATGAGGAAAGCACCTGTGTCAGAGTTTCCACTTCAAATCTATTCTTATCACTGCTGCCAGAAGTACTGATAAGATGTCATGAGTTAAAATAGAAAGGCATGAGAGGATATCTTTACACCTACCTCTTTCCTTACAAAAACACCGTTGTTAAAATAACTAGTACAGCGTGCCAGTCATGATCATTCTAAAATTGCAGAATTGCAATTTGTGGGAGGGGAAAAAAAAAAAAAGATTTTTTTAATCAAGAATCTTTAAGTATATTTCACCGTATTCTGAGACTAAAGAATTAGGAACTAAGGCTATGAAGTCAGCTGGGACTGACCAAAGGAATTCTTGGCTGAGCAGCTGGGTCATTTTTGCCTAAGTGCAAAAGGAAGTTGCTTAGGCCAGAAACTCGTAGGGTGGCAGAGGCGCTTCCCCAAGAGTCATCCTTCCCAGAAAGCTCCTTGAGTCCCTTGCCTCTGCACTCACTTGGCTCTAGTGTGCATCTGCCTCTATTCCTGCTTCCATGCTGTTGAAAAGGAAGACTCATGTGAGTGAATTTATTCTCTCCAGAAATGCAGTGTGGGAAGTTGGCGATACAGCTTTATTTCTCCCATTCCCTTTGTTTCTTCTTGGATTCTGATGGTACCTTGGTCTGGGCAATGAAGTTGGGTCCCTCCAGTTTTTGGTTTTCATAGAGTCTTTCAGGAATTTCAAGCAGTTAATTTTTCTTTTCAGGAGGAACAATTTTTGCACTGGATAATGCTTTCTTGTCAAAGCAAAGAATACTGTCAGGGCTTTCACAGAGAATTGCTGAAATTTTGGGATGTTAAAAATACTAATGGAAACAATAAAATGCAGATGAATTTTTGAATCTTAGCAAAAGCATTTTTAAGAAGCCTGAAAATCTTTCTATTTTTTTCTTAGTATCGGAAATGAAATAAAATTCCCCACACTTGCAACTTACTGTCGGACAAAAATCCTAGGTTTAGGCCTGGTATCTGACTTGTAGCAAATATTATTTTGAATTCCCCTATACCATGTAAGGAAAGCGTCATTAGTTAACTCATAGCTTCTTCTGTAAAATTTTGTATTCACAATTCAGTGAGGAAACTGAGCTAGAATCAGTTATCGTGGCTTTTCCACAGATTCTTAAACTTTATAAAAGTGTGCTAACAAGTCATCTTGAGCTGAATGAGCTGTACCCTGGCTGAGAAAATGTCTTCATTGTCAGCTTTCTCAAACTGTATAGAGAAGGTAAGAAATAAAGCTGAAGTATCAAAATGATTGTCTTTTAAATTCTGGTGCTTAGCTGGATACCCAACCAGTATTTGAGAAAGAACCATACATGAAAAATATGTTTTAATTGGACTGTAAAGGAGACATTCCAAACCATCATTTACAAGGCTTGAAAGGCTTAGTGGATATCTGAAATAACTAGGTCAGTTCTTCTTTTAAATTTATCCATATAACTATATATATATATATATATATATATATTAAATTTCAGGTTCTACGAATGAAGCACTGAGATGCAATGTTTCCAATCAAATTCACATTTACATATTTCAAGCTTATTACAAATCAAACATCTCCTTATTTTGTCACAGTTACTGAAGTCAGGACAGCCTGGGAAGTCAAAGGTAAGGATAAGGTAAATTTGATGTTATAGAACAATTCTGACACTACTGAGTCCATGGTAAAACACAGTGATTTCAGTAAGAAATCAGAAGTAACAATCCTAGAAGATCATGCAGACACTCATTTTGAGGATGATCATCTCATATGCATCTGCTTTGTACAAGGTTCCAAGATTCCTACTCATAGTGGCTGCTGCTATAATCTCAGTGTAGAAAAAAATGTGACATTATACATGAGGAATGTCATGAAAAACACCACAATAATGATAATTAATGTTTCTAAAATAATTACTATACTGAATCAAATAGTAAACAAATAGAAAAATTAGTTAGTTTAGGGAACATACTTCAATAGAATAGCCAGAAGCTGTCAGGAGTTGCTCAGTGCAATGATGTGAAGCTTCTGTGTCTCCTTCCCCACATCCAGCCAGTTGCAAGGCTTAGCATGCCTTTCCAACAGATGTATGTGCCCATGTGAACATATTTATAAGCATGTATGCATAAATGCATAAAAACAAATATATGTAGGTGTATGGGAACTGCTGAATCACGGCCTGAATCTCTGATTGATCACCTGAGGCAAGCAATGAGTCAGCACAGGAGCACAGGTGAAGGCAATTCAGCTGTGCTGCTGGAAGCCGTGGAGCCTGGCTGCACCTCTCCTCGACCCAGCTAAGAGCTGACCACCAACAGGAAGGATCTCTTCTGGAGATCCCTCCTCTGGAGTTTCCCGCGCGAGCCCAGGGTATGGGTGAGTGTATCTATCATTTCTGTTCCCTGCTTTTGTGTAACAACTACGTAGCCGAGCTCTCTGCTGTATCATAACATCTGTATATTCATTAATTGTATAGTAGGCATATATGCACATACATATGTAGGTATACGTATATCTGTGTATTCACAGGCCTACAGGGCAAGTTGTAGAGAAACACACGATATTCCTGCAAGTATGAACAACATTAATGGCATGGTCTTGTTCACTACCTTCACTATGGCTTGTGGCTGTAGTGGATTCTTTATGTGTTATTTTGCAGTATTACTGGGAATGATTTTCTCTATGCCAACAAAGAGGCTAGACTCAATGAAATGATACAACTTTGTGCAGGAATCCCCAAAAACATCTCTTGCTGGGAAAACTCGAGATAGTGTTTGCAGTGTGAAGAAAGGGCATAAACTCTGTGGACAAACCATAGGCTGATACACACTGATTGATAGGAATGACTTACAAGTCTGTATGGGACACAAAAGAGAAGAACACTAAAAAAAAAGTGAGAAAGGATTTAGCTTGAGGAGGGAAACAAGTTGTGTAGGATCTTTCAGGTGTATTTTAGTCCTAGAGCAGGGGATACAGTATAGCAGAAAATTGAGACAAGAGGTGGGTACTATTAGAATGACGGGTGAGAACATAGCCTAATTTGTTTGTGCTGAGGGGAATTAGGAAAAATGCAGTACAGTGAGAAAAGAGGAAGCTGCGTAAGTGGAGGAGGGAGACAATCGTGTTTGGATCTGTTGTTTCCTAGGTGACAAGATCAGAGAAGGGATTTAGAGCTGATTCATGTGATATATATATATATAAATATAATATAATAATATAAATATATATATATATATAAATTAATAGCAATGCACCCCAAATTATTGGGATTAGAAGTGAGAGGACCAAAAGAAAACAGGAAGAGATCAAGGCTGCAGTTTTACTGACTGGAATTAGTCTTGCTTTCCTTTGTTTTCAGTGTTCTTATAAACCTGATAAACACTGTAAAATCTGTAGGTGACCAGTTCTCTAGGGTGGCAGTGTCTCTAACAAATGCTCATTTGTAGCAGTCAATTCTGTTTGCCTCATATATAGACACTAAAATGGCTGTGGTAAAAATATTTGAAATACTAGAGAATGTATTGAAATCAGTGAACCTCAAACATTTATGGAGACTTTTATTAAGACTTTATTAAGACTTTATTTAGCAAAAATGCTCTAGACTGCAGTATATACTCCAGAGTCAATGTTCTTAAACATATACGCAAGTTTTATAATTTCAAATTAAAATAGTTATTCTGAACAGAAATCAGTATAAACGACACTTCCAGATCTAAATACCATTTGCCTTTGAGGCAGTTCTGATATGAAATAACATAATTTATGTTTTGAGCCCATATCTAGATGGCGTAATTTGAGGGTTTATATTTTGTGTGTCTTGTAATCTCGAAAGGTAGTGGTTTCAGAACCCATGAAGGAAACTTTTGATAAATCTTTTGTATATTTTCAGATATCTTGCTAAAAACCTTGTCTTTTTCAGCCCAACCATTTACTCTATATGCTGTTAATTAAATGGTTTGCCTTGAAGTATCACTCATTAATCTGGGTGACTATATTTGGCATTTAGATTTCAGAAGAATAAGCGTACCTTATTTGAATATTTCAAACAATTGATTTTGAGCCCCCTAAATGCCTCATAGGGAAGATGGCTTTTCTTACTGGAATTGCAGTCTAAGCCCACACAGGTGTACTAGATATGGGCTGTAATGATGAGACTACATTTCCTGACACAGAATGTGGACCTACTGCCCAAACTAGAGAATTACTCCTTTACTTCAATCTGACTTAAAAGGAAACTTTTATTATCAATCAAAAAGAAACAAATTCTGTAGGGGGAATGGGTACCCAACTTTTGGTCTGCTTAATAGCCACTCAGACCTTTTGTGAGCACCAGAATGCAAGAAGCTGCAACTAGACAAAACTGTTAGTCAGATGAAGGTCCTTTTTTAAATCCTGATTGATTGCTTTGAAGAGCAGCATAGGCAAATTCCTTTCTAGCCTTTTTTCTTGATTTTATATTCAAAATTCAGCAATTCTTATGGAACTGATTGATCATGGTGTCAAATGCCTCTGCTCAAGGAAGCCTAGGTTTTGTTTAAACGTCTAGGGTTTTTTGTTTTGGGGGGTTTTCTTTTGCAAAACAAATAATCCATCAATGACTTTTTTTTTTTCCCCAAAAGAATTAGAGTACTTCCATTTCAAAGTGTCAGCTACTCCTGATCTTTCCTCTTGTCAACTATCCAATGAATTTCAGGTACCAGAAATAGGCTGTAACCTGTGTCATTTACAGTCTTGTTTTTTCACTGTAGTAGAGTTTTATTTAAAAATAAGAATTACTGTATTTTATATGTAAAGAAATGTTTTGTATCAAACATTTTACTTGTGCAAGTCAAGCTTGAACTCTTTTGTGCAACAGTGTCTTGATTGCATGTTTGGCCACTTGCAGAATCATTTTCCCTTGAATATTATAACTTTCTAAACATGGTAAGCTGAAGCTATTTAGTCAAATTCAAACTCATCTAGAATGTGCCTGCCAGTTACACAGAGATCTGGAAGTCCTGCAGCTCTGGTCTTCTCCTGAGGACCCGTCACAGTTCCTGACATGGTTCCACCTGGGCCCTGCATGCATCTTTGGCAGGGGACAATCAGTGCAGGCATTGCACAGTAACTCTCACTTCAACCCTATGCCTGCCTGCGCAAGAGATTCCACTATAAGGTGCTGCTGGCCTGCAACCCTTAGAACCCCACAGAGATCTGCATGCAGGGGACCTTCATCAGCATGGATTATTTGTTAAGATGTTGTTCGTTGCTAATCAGAATGCAGCCACAAAGAGCTTTAAAAAAAGGTTGCCATCATTACCTTTGTTCCTCAGTTGGGATACTATAACACATGAAGATGCAAACTGGTTTGGGCCTTCATAATTCTCTTTTATAAAAAATAGGCTATTTTGGTCTATGGCCCAAAATACCTATAGTCAAAGAAAATAGAAACAGTAGAATAAGGAACTCCTGAAATGTGTATAAGTCTAGCTCAGCTTTTTATTTACAAAATACCGTGTTGCCGTAACACAACTGATATCTACTATATGAAAATATCTTTCTTGAAATTCCATAGTTGAAATTACTTGCTGTTGATGACCATCCACCTTCCAGCTTGCAACCTAGCTATTGTTCTGAAACATAGAAATGAGACAAAATATCTGCTGAGCTCCCCCACATTGTTTCCAAAAGAAAATGACGATACTCTTCTGCTTCTGTGCTGAGAATGATTTAACTTTGTACTAGAAATAATAAATTAAAATCTTTGACCCTTTGATATAAAATTTCAGTACTAACAGATATTTCAAATGTTTTCTGTTTCAGATTTACGTTGAAGGTACTCAGTTCCTTTGGGAACAACTTATAAGTACTATTGAATCCTTAGTATTTCTTTACAGTAGGGACTATTAGCTTCGCAGCATTTCTGAGACAACCGTATAGTGGAAACCTATATAACAAAGAAATATAGATTCAGAAGGATCAACACAGTATCACCATTATACATTTTGAATGCAACTGCTACTTCTGCCACCTGGAGGAGCAGTGCTTTCAAATGAAGTACAAAAAGTTACCCAAAAGATAAACTTCTTTCCCCGCGTGTACATGGAACTTCTTACAGATCTTTATGTTATTTTAAAACTAACTCCTGATTTTTCAATAACTAATTACTAATCTTCTCAGGTTTTAATGTATGCAATTTTTCTATTAGAACTTAGTTATAATTTTGAAACTTTTTTGAAGTTTCCAGATAGTTAACATTTACAAGATGTTTTATGCAGACAGTAACAGAAAATGTAAAGAATTATCTTCTCACCTTAACTGCTTCTAGTCAGTATTACACATATGGTAGTAAAGAGATAGGACTGAAGTACAGTCTTACAGATTCTCTGATGTTTATTTTATCAGCTTCAATCACTAATTAAAACCATAAAATCTTATAAATAAATCCTGCATGTCAATTAGCTTAAGCAATTGTGGCTAAATATTTAATAATTATTAAGTAGTTTCTATACAGCTGCAGTGATGATTAATGAAATGGTGCACGTTTCTAATTACATCCACACTGTCTTTGGTAACAATGTCCAAGTGTGCACTTGAACTCCTACTCCTATCGGTGTGCACTATGCAGCCACACCATAGAGGCCTTAGGGCCTGCAGCACATATAACTGCATTCACAGCACACTTGTACCATCATGCACTCGGGTGTGAAAGTTGCCACAGCCCTTTTGTGCTGCTACAGACCTTACTTGCATGCACACCATTCCCAGCCTCCTTCCTCCTGCCCATCTGCTGGTAATCTCCCACATGCCAGTAATGCCTTTGCCCATTAGTCACAGGAGGTCTCAGACTGACTTTTGCTCTGAAGTTACTCATGCTGTCTTTGAAGAGCCTGATCGTAGATTGGCACCTAGAGCTGGTATGTTTGACTTCATCATTGCTGTCCCTTTGCAGCGGAGTCCTCTAAGGAGGTATGAAGACCTTTTGTTTGTTTTGACCATACAGCTCTCCAGCTGGAATTATTGTTCCTCTGTTATGTATTGGAGAAGACATTTAGCAATTGACCCTTGCTGACACTTGTCATGCCTTTGAGGAAGTTATGGACGTCTGCCATATCCTGTCCCTGGCAGGAGCAATAAAAGAGCCAATGTGTACAGAAAATCAGGGAACCAGGCAGGGAATGTGTATGGACAGGAGAACTTCAGTGTTACTGTTGAGGCGTGCCAAAACAACTTGTGTTGTTATTTCTAGGTCACAATAAAAGCAAAACTCTGTTTTTGCATTTTGCCTAATTACATTCACTTTTGGCTAGAGAAGAGATCAGTGTGAAGACACTGCATTTCCTGCCCTAAATACCAGCCTCTGTTACTGCAGAGCTCATCCACAGATTACAGAGTTGGGTGCCAGGTTCTCACCTCTGCTTGGTAGCTTTGTATGCAAAATGGAAAGTGCTAGGGCAGACTTGGATGATGACTAAAGTAGCCTTTCTCATAGCAGGATGTGTTCTTGATCTGCCTGCTATTTACATTACCTAGCTGCAGCTTCTATCATCATTTGTGCTCTGTGCAAGTCTGGAATTATTTGCATTTTAAGGCCATCATTGTCACGAATGTTGAAGTGACTCATCATTTTTTAAACATTTCAGTTGCTGTCAGTATAATGGCTGTTTCTGAAATGCTTCCTTCAAAAAGCTCAACTCAATTTCCTCTTTTTTATTTTCCCCCTAAACTTTTTTTCAGGTTTCTGACATTTTATTACTAATGTGCAGAAGTACTGTAAGTTCCACCAGCTTTTATCCAGGAAACTGAGCATAAATTTACACAGGTCTAGCCCTGTCATCCCAGAGAACTACTGTAATTAAAGTATCAAGCTATTGAGACTCTGTATGCGTGTTTACACACAAGTGTCTATGTGCCTCTGTCCATGTACCAGTCTTGCTCTTGCTCTGACCATGTCCCTTCTTCTCCCCTTTCCTCCTTGAGCTCCAAATTCACTTATGTATTTCTTCTCCACATAAACTGGAAAGAGTTTCAACAGTTCCCACGCCATTCCAGCATGGGAATGAGGAAGTCATTTTAATAAAAAGTTATTTTTATTGGAAAAAAAAAAAAAAAAGTATAGCATTAGTTACTAATTTTTGGGTGATGAAGTCGAGACAATAAGAAAATTGAGTTTTTTTTTCTGGTGGATTTTCAGAGCTCCTTGAGAACAAGCTTAATGACATAGATCATTAGCAGTGGGGTTGGACTAGATGATCTTCAGAGGGTCCCTTTTCAACCTCTATGATTCTGTAATTTTATGATTCTGTGATCTCATATTTCTGCCACTCTATCCATCATTTTCTCAAAAGACCACCAATTGTCAAGTCTAAAGAGTTGTAGTCCAACCAACCACTGTAGTTTGAGTTACAGATAAAGTATTGGAAATCTTGTACAAAAAAAAAAAAAAAGAGAGGTGTATGTGGGAGCGAAAGTTAGCAATAGGTCTGCCACAGAAAAAGGAAAAAATATATATGCCATAAGATCTTACTAATGAGGGTTAGAAATACAGCCAAAAGACACAATAATAAACATAAAAACTGAACAATGCACTGCATAGAAACAGCTAACATAATTCAGATGTCTCCATTCCCCCTTCAGAAAAAGAGGACTTTTCACTATCAGATAAACAAATGACCCAAACACATTCTCTGCATCCAACAGCTTCAGCAGTGCTTTGAAATTCCTCAGTCTTTGATGAACAGGCCTACATATTTAGATAAGTGTAGCGTTTTTCCAGAGGGGCATGAAAGAATTCAAAACAAATGCAGCCTTTGCGTGACTATGCAGTTGCACAGAATTCTCAAAAGGAAACTGCTTGCAGGATCAGGGCCTTTCCAGCAATGTGAAATTTAAGATGTTAGTAGGGGTTGAAAGAGAAGAGATGACATTTCTGTTGAGGGGATTCATACGCACACGATGCAGGAGAAGGAGTTACAGAATTTTAACTGCTGACATACCCAGGCTCAGATCTGTGGTTTGGGCACAAAAACAGGGCTATTGCTTCTAGGGGTTTGGTGGAGGGATGTGAAAACTGAACAGTAGCATCTGAGACATGATTCATAGGGCATGGTGCAAAACGGTGCGCAGCGCAGGAGTCTGAGATGTTGCAGTGAGCTAGCCCTGCATCTGCAAAGTAACAAAGTTACTTATATGGTCGTTTCTCCAATTTCTTGAGATCTTTTAACAGTGAAGACAACAGAATTAAGGAGTGTGGCATTAAAGCTATTTTTACTGATGTTATTTTCTTACACAGCTTGCAAGCTTACAATATACCTGAACAGTACTAGATCTTATGCACAGAGCATGATGTAAGTTTGTTTTGGGTTGCTTCTTCACTGTGCAGCCTAGCTTCTTTCAGAGCTGTCTTTGCATGTCTGCCTGTAGACGTGAGCTCATATTTGACTATCTGAATGGTCCTATTTAGAAGGTGTACATCACAGCACATCCAAGACATCCCTAGCTTACCACAGCTCATCCATCAGCTCTTGAGTCAGTCTACTGCTCTGAGTTTTAAGGCAAAGTGTCACTGTTTCCCTTAAAAATATGGTGGTGACTGAATTTAGTTAGGGCAGCCTGTCTGTTTCTGACCCCTGGGTCCTCAACAGTATTTGTAACTCTTTCAGGCTCTCTGTGCTACAGTTTTTATTCAAAGAGATTTTGCATTGAATTTCTAATTGTTATAACAAATCCTGAATAGCAGCAGTCCTACTTTTGGTTTCTATGTAGTCATCTACAATCATCACCTCTGACTGATGATTCCGTTGGAGCTGCACCTATCTCCACACATTAATCTCATGCATTGTGAGTCTTCTTGACAGATTACATGGCCAAGCTTCCAGAAAAGTATCTGAGAACAATCCAAATGTATTATACCTGCACCTCCATCTTCATCAACTTTGTAATTTAACAAGAAATAAAATACACTTGACAAATTCTTTTTCTATAAAGTCACATCAGCTGCTACTGCTGTACTCCCGTCTCATAACTTGTTATGTCCTGTATCAGCATTTGTTGTTGGTTTTATTCATGACAGATAAATTAGTTTGTTGTTATCTGTGTCTTCAGCTGTCCAAATTGAATACTTAAGGTCAGTTTTCAGGACTTACAGAATTCCTGCAGTAATTAGAGCTTTATTAGAAATGTATATGATTTCATACTTCGTGGAAGACCATATGCAGTCTCCTTTAATACTCTCAAATTAAAGTTCTTTATGACTCACCTACTTTAGGATGTTTCTCTTTAAGTTATGTTGTTCGGTGCCCATACTAATAATGACAAGGAAGGTACTCAGTCATTTTGATATGCTGAAGTCCATCATACATTTTTTCAATGATCGGATAAAACTCTTATCTGTATCTATTTAGATATATTGGCCTACAATACTGTTAAAATTTAGAAAACTAGAGTTATTCCTAAAATTACCAAGCACACTTTTTCTCATCCATTTTTTCTATGCTTTATAACTGTTCTTACAATGATTGCTCTATTTCCTACTTTTATATCTTTACTTCCGACTGCCGTGTTTGCTTCCCCACAAAACTAGAAATGCATTTTGCTGAATGTCTTTTTTCATGACAACATCCTGGCTTAAATCACTCAACTTCATTTTTACTCCCACTGCTTTGACACATTTCTATCTAGTTTTTCTTCTCACTCAGTCATTCATTTTCTGCAGCTTTGAGAGAAACAAGCCAAAATACAAGCCTTATGAACAAGACACCGCCACTGTCCACTTGTGTGTTATCTACATGCTCAGGTGAACTCTTTCAGGCTTGTACTTACCTTATCTTTACCAAAATAAATTCTGAAGTTGTACATTTCTCCAATAGGACTTTTTTTTTTTTTCTTTTTGTCAGAAAATCATGAACTATGATTTTTAAGAGCTCTAGTAATCTTTTACTGTTTAGCTCCAAGTTATATGTCTGAAGTTCCTCATCATAACAATGTAATTTTCCTTGCCAAAATTACTAGTGAGTGTTGAAAAATGATCTTTAGTCTTACTGACATGCAAGTAGCGCTCACTATAAAACTCCTCTGAGGCTTATTCCTTAGTATATTGATCCATGTGAATTTACTTTTCTATAGGTATGGTAAGTTTAAAACTGTATTCAGTACTCCATTTCTTTGTATGTTACTCAGTTCTTGGTGAGACAAAGTCTGTGAGGACAAGGTCCTTGAACTGATGGAACCTGACCTTTTAACTCAGTTAGTGACCTTTCACCATCCCCAAAGATATTTCACAATCCTTCAGATCTCTGGAAATGGAGAAGGAATTGAGACATAACCTGGCATATTTTTGCCTTTTAAATCATGAGCCCACACAAAAACAAAATCAAACAACAACAACAACAAAAACACGTCTTTTTCTTTTGCATCTGCCTATAAGGATGGGAAGATACATTGGATGCCCAGCCTTTCTTCTGGTGTCACTTAGATGAAATATTTGGAAAAAAAACAAAAAAAAACAAAAAACACACAAAAAAACTGCTTGCCAGATACAATGAGAATTTGGTGAAAACCTGGCACTATGTCTACCTATGTCTAACAGGGCACTATGATTGGGCAAATCATTATTTAGACTGATATGAAAATAATACATTGTTAATTATTAAATTAAAATCAATTAAAAGAAGCAAAACTGAACATTTTCACAAAGCAACCTACACAAACTGAAATCTGATCAAATTTCCTGTTTTCAATTCACAAAACAAACAAAAACACATAAGAATCATAACTGCAGCAATCTGCAGTCTATGCCTGATCTGATGCCCACAAGACAGTACAGTTTGTAAATTGTGAGCAAATGTTACAGTCATGTTACAGTCCCATGGAAATTTCTCTCACTGACATCAGTGTTTTTTGAAGTCACAGGAAAGCACCTGCAGATGTGCTCTGGAGGGGCCTTGGCACAGCACCTCTCAGGGTGCCCACCTGGGGCCCTGTGGTGGCAGCAGCAGAGAGTGGAGTGCTTCACCTTCTCGCACTAGTCTTTCCAAACCATTCTCTGTGTTAGCCAGCAGCACTACACGGAGAACTGAAGACAGCTTGCCTTCAGCCTCATTATGGATGTCTGAACAATATTCTTGAAGTTTATCATAGAATATCCTGAGTTGAAAGGGACCTACAAGGATCACTGAGTCCAACTCCTGGCTCCACAAAGGACCACCCAACATTCAAACTCAGTATCTGAGAGCACTGTCCAAACGCTCATCGAACTCTGGAGCTTGGGGCTGTGTGTGATGCCCTGGGGAGCCTGTTCCATGCCCACAGGCCTTTGGTGAAGAACCTCTTCTGAACACCCAGCTTGACCCACCCCAGACACAGCTTCATGCTCAGCACTGCTCTGCTGCTCCCTGTGAGGAGCTGCAGCTGCCATGAAGCCTCCCCTCAGGAGGGGCTGGGCTGAACACCCCAATGGGCTGCAGCTTCTCCTCACATATCTTCCCCATCTTCATAGCCATCATTTGGACACTAATACTTTTATGTCTTTCTTATATCATAGTACCCAGAACTGCACCCAGTGCTGGAGGTGAGGCTGCACAGAGCAGAGCAGCATGGGACGACCCCTCCCCTCACCCGCTGGCAGTGGTGGGCCTGGTGCACCCCAGGGTACAGTTGGCCCTATGGCTGCAAAGGCACACTGCTGGCTCATGTCAGCTTCCATCTACCAGAATGACCAGTTCCAGTCTCATATCCCCCAGTCTGCCAGGATAGGCCCATCCCAGGTGCAGAGTTTGGCACTGGTTCTTGTTAAACTTCTTAGGGCTGTTGACTAACTAGTCCTCCTCTGCAAGGACTCCCTGCCCTCAAGAGAAGGCATTGTATGTAGCATACCCAATATGTGCTCTTAAATGGGCTCTAATGCAGAGGTAGCGCCCAAAATGCACTGTTTGTGCTCACTGCCAGTCCTGCTGTGCCCTTCACAGGGCAGTCTGTCAGACATGCTGGGGTGCTGGCAGCAGCAGCAGCAGAACCAGAGACTCAACAGCTTCTGTTTGTTATTACAATGGTGACAGCCTATCCCTGCCGGTGGAGGTGCAACAGCCGCTAAGCCAGCAGCTGTTTAACTCTCGGTTTTCAGTTATATTGGAGAGGGGAAAAAGGAAAAAAAATGACGATAACAATAAAAGCTTTTCAGCCAGCTTTTCTGGGCGTTCCGCGGCGCCCTGACACGGGGTCACGGTGCAATGAGGACAGGCAGAGGTAGAAGCGCTCCCAACGAGCGCTCTCAGCGGCGCTTTCCCATCCGCCCACACATACGCACACGCGGCGCCCACCTCCGAGCCGGGCCAAGCGCCTCCCGCCCGCGCCGGCTGAGCGCGATCCCGGCGGAGCGCTGCGGGGGGCGCGGCAGGACTGTACGGGTGCCGCCAAGCACGCGCGGAGCCGAACCTCGTGGCGCTACTTGCCCCCATCCCGCCGCCCGCTCGGCGCTGCTGGCCCTTTAAATGATGGCCGGCGGCCCGTGCCGCCGCTGGCTGGGAGACCCCGCGCCTCCAGTGAGAGGTGAAACCAAGATGGCGGACGCGCAGTGACTGAGCCAGAGACGGAGGCGGAGGGAGCAGGGCTGGACGGGCCGCGCCGCGTTGCTGCCATTCGCCCCCTCGGCGGGGCCGGGCCAAGCCGAGCGCCTCTCTGCCGCCGGGTGTTGAGAGCGCGGCCACGCCGCGGGGCGCGCTGAAGAGCCGGGACTGAGCCGACGCAGCTGCACCGGGAGGAGGAAGAGGAGGAGGAGGAGGAAGAAGAAGAACATGGCGGCCGTGTCGGGCTAGGAGTGAAGCCGCCGCCTGCGACCGGAGCCCATGGGGGAGCCGGGGCGCTGAGCCCGCCCGCCCACCTCATCCCGCCCCGGGCCACCGGCGCCCGCCGGTCCTGGCTCCGCGGGAAGGAGGGCGGCTCCGCGGGGCCCCGCGCTGACGGACGCGAGCGAGGGGCTCCGGGCCTGGGCGGCCGCCGCACAAAGAGCCGCGCTTGGGCCGGGCCGGGCGGCCCCGCTCCCGCCCGCCGTTCCCGCCCGCCTCAGTCCGGCCTCGGCGCTTCCCGCTCGGGGCCCGGGCCGCCCGCCGCTTCCGCCGCCCCGGATCCGCGCCTTCTCCGCGTTCCGTCCCTCGCCGCCTCTCCCCGCGGTGCCCTGCCCGTCTTTTGTCGGCTGGACCCGGAGCAGCGCCTCTCCCCGCCGTTTCCCCGTGCCTCGGCCCTCTTCCTCCGCGGCCATGAGGATCTCGTCGGAGCGCTGAGCGGCGGGACGAAGAGCTCTCCCGGCGCGGCCGCGTGGGGCTGCCGCCCTCCTTCCCGCCGCCCCGCGAGGGGGCCCGGCCCCCCGCCGCCCGCACGCTCCCTCGGCTTTCGCGAAGCGGCGCGGTGGCCGCGGTGCCGGCGGCACGATGACTGACACCCGGCGCAGGGTGAAGGTTTACACGCTGAACGAGGACCGGCAGTGGGACGACCGAGGCACGGGGCATGTGTCCTCCTGCTACGTGGAGCGGCTGAAGGGCATGTCCCTGCTAGTCAGGGCGGAGAGCGATGGTGAGTGCGCGCCGAGCTCTGCGGCCTCGTGCTGCCCTGGAAAGCCCTGGGCTTAGCTTTGTGCGCCTGTGTTTCGCAGCGTAATTCAAACGTGGTAACTACAAGCGAGCTTCAGGCGTTTTTCTCTCTTCTTACTCCGCGTGGGGGAAACGGGAGGCTGCTATCGAGTGCGGGCGTAGTAGGCGCTGGGTTCACGGGGAATACGCAGCGTTTCGTACCAACGCGGTCAGGTCTGGTTGTGAGCACTGTGCGGGTGTGGGAATTCAGAACTGATCGCTGTGATCTACCTGTCCTCAGGTGTTTCTGGAAATGACCCCTCTTGGAAGAAGCGCTCAGACTTTAATCGTGTTTCTTAGTCACCTGATGACCTCTTAAAGAATCTGTCTAATATCCATTTCTTTTCTCTCTTGCATTCTCTCCTTTCTTCTAAGAATTAAGGCATCCTACTATCTATCAACAGTTAGCAAAGTGCAGTTGTAGAAAAGAATGGACAGAATAGCACACTTTTTTCTCATCATGAAATAGTATCTCAGTTCTTAACCGACTCTAGATCTCACTGTAAGTAGAATGATGCATTATCCATTTCCCTCACTTTTTATGACAAAATTTACTGCAGGCTAAGTAGTAGTGCCTACAATAGATGCATTTGAACTACTCTTGATTGTTGGTGGAGTGAGCACTATGGTCAGGTTTTAA